AATATACTTTCTAAAAGTTACTCTGCATTGAGGGAAAACTACACATTATTTGAGAAAATAATAAGATAAAACCCAATAGTTCATGAATTTTACCATCCGTGTTCTCAATTCTTCGGTCTTTGCTGGAAAATGAGCCCATTGTCACCTTTTTCCTTTTGCAGAAAACGAAATAAAAGCACACGGCTAAAACGATTGCACCTAAAATGGCTGCAATTGATATTCCAGCAATGGCTCCACCAGACATTCCAGCTGGACTGCAAGAAGAGAGAAAAAAAAAATGTATTATTAGACGTAATAAAAGCAGCTTATAGAAAGAAACGAGACTTTCAGTGACTGACTATTTAGTATCATCAACCTTGTTAGCAGTGGAGGATACGTTCCATTACGATCTGCATTGAACTCAAAAACAACACATAAGACATTTTACCCTTAAACCAAAAAAAAAAAAAAAAAAAAAAAACAAAAAGACTCGAGCACATGAAAGCAATCGCAAAGCTTAAATCTTTTTACCCAAAGGCTTAAAATCACTTTCTTTTCTCACTGTAGCTTATGAGTATGTTACCAAATAGTGCTTCTCTTTACACATAAAGTGCTAATGAGTTCAACTTCTACAAAACAAACTATTACAAAAAAATGACTTTGGTTGTTGTGAGTTGTGACCTCTGTATAACTCCTTATGTGATAACCAAAGGTATTCTCTAATGTGAATTCAATGTGGGATAGGTCACCTTTTACCATCCCAAACTAATTTTCTGTCCGTTAATCGACTAACGTTAATAATCTATTTCTCACTCACCCGAAATCAATTGTTGAGAAACTAAATACACTACGAGCATCTATTTAAAATGTAGCATATTCCTATACAATTTAATTCTACTCAAACTAAATCTTCAGACGATACAAAAATCAATCAACAATGTCCCACGTCGTTTTTCAAAAACCAATTTCGTAACAAAGCAAACTCGATTCCACATTCTAACCGAATTACTACCCTTTTTTCTCCAAATAAAAATAGTTATGTTTATAAAAAGGGAAATCAACCACAACTCTTACCTACATTACATTACCATTTACTCATAATAATAATAATAAAAAAAAAAAAATCAAATTTTTACCTTTGGCCGGAACAAAAACCAAACCAGTCCCACTGCCAAAATCGACGCCCGGATTATAATCCTGCAGCAACCTCTCCGAAAGCCCAGACCCATTTGCTATACCCGACAAGCTCTCGCCCGGCCTCAAAGGGTAAGTTGCAAAAAGCCCGTAAGCCCTCGACACGCGGCTATCCCCGCACGAGCAATTCACGGTCACATTCAGCCGAGCATCAACCGGGATGTTTTCGGGCGGGTAGCTATTGAACCTCATCAGCATTTCAACCGTCGTCAAGTTCGAGTACATTAGCTCCGCAATCCTCTGGTAGGTGTTTCCGGGCCGAACCTGGTAAACAAACTGGTGGGCCAATAGCTCGTTCACCGGGCCGCACGAGAAGGGCACGACCAGCCTGTCGCCGGCGCTGATGAGGTCCCGGTTAGTGATTTGGGGGTTGTAGCTGAGGATATCGTCGATGGTGGTCGAAAAGACCGAGGATATGAAGGTGAGGTTCGTGCCCTCCCATATGTAGTAGGAAGCTAACGCGTCGCATGCTCGGCCGGGCTGGGATTTGACTCCGGCCCGGAAGATGGTAAGCAGCAAAAGCCAGAAGGGTAAGTTGGGCTTGAGTTCTTGGGGAATTTTCATGGAGGAAAGGTGGGATTTTTTTGAGGATGAAGCTTTGGGGAATTTTGTCAAACAGGTTGTGGGCAGATGATGAGTTGACTACCTGGTTTTTTCACGTTTCTTTAGAAACGGTCCGAAGAATAAAATTTTTTCAAAATATTCTGTGCATTTGAAAAGATAGAATTGGTTTAATCATTTTCGTGCAGTTGACCAAATGTCGCGCCGTTGATGGAGATGATTAGAGTTATAAATGAACCGAACGACTTTGCAATAAAAAGCTCGTTCTTTTATTAATTGAGTAGGATGCAAACAAAAAATTAAGCTTGTTTAATAATTGAATGAACACGAGCTCATTTACAAATGTTCGATAATGTTCGCGAACATTAATTTAATAAAATCTTATTTTACTTTTTATATGTTTATATAATACTTATAATAAAATATATAAAATATAAAAATATTTTATTCTATTTTGTTTTATTTTATTTTAATATATTTACATAATAAATTTAATTAAGAAATTAATATATAAAATATATTTTTTTTTATTTTCTAATTCGAACGAACAAATTTCAAGTTAATTAAACATTTTTAAAAATTTTATTTATTAAATTATTCGAACACAACAAACTCGAACTTGACGAACAATTAAATGAACGAGCTCGAACACAGTTTTTAGCTCGAAAAATAAATGAACGAACATGAACATTGTTCGAACGTAAACGAATACGAGCTCGAACAGCCCAAGCTCGGTTCGGTTCGTTTACAACACTAGAAATCAAGAGAAAAGATGTAATATTGAAAAAATATTAAATAATGGAGAAATTAATTATAATTATATAATCTTTAAATGAAAATGTAAGTAAGTGATGTTTTTAAACAAAACTAGTATTCGACCTGTGCATTTGCACAAATGTAAATAAAGTATATGCATATAATGATAATATTTTTCTTTCACCTTTTTGCTGGCCAAATTTATAATTAAAGGAGTTGGAATATCTATTTTTTTTTAATTGCGGTTATCTGATTGAATGTAATGTATATTTTGGTACGTCTTTGTTTGTGAATTATTTATTATTTATTTAAGAATTTTAAACATGTTTTTTATTTTAAAGATAATAATAATTTAAATTTAACCACAATTATAACATCTAATCACATTATACGATAAACACATTATATGGTCAACTGCCAATAATCAAAAGTTTAAAATGATTTTTGTAATTTTGAAGTGATTAGTGTTGATTATTTAATAATTAAATGAAAAATTAAATACATCAAAAGTAACGATTTTTTAAGGGAAAAGGGTTAAATTGCCACATAGGTAAAATTAAATAGGTTTTATTAAATGCTATTAGCTAGTAATTATATATATATATATATATATATATATATAAATTTTGAGGGATTATGTTATGTGGCGGTGGCTGATTTTTCTCCGGAAGTTGCTTTTTGTCATTTACTGGGATGATTTTATTACAACATGAATGAATTGTACAGTGAGATGCAAAGAAGTTTGTGATTTGTATATACAATGGAAATATTTAAAGTTAATTACTTGTTGTGTTGTATATAATATGGGAAATATTTAAATTTAATTAATTATTGTGGATTTTACAAAATAGCTATTTTAAATTTAAGTGTGTATTTAATTGAGATTTTTTAAAAATTTTGAAGAATTTTTAAGACTTTGAAAATTATGGTATAATTTAATTTAGAGT